AAATATGTTACTAGAATTTGTGTATAATACTGTAATGTAATAACCTCACTTGAAAACAGGGTTTCCGCGGGGTCTTAAAAAGTCTTAAATTTAGTTGTATCAAATTTAAGGCCTTAAAAAGTCTTAAATTGTACAAGAAAGTCTTAATTATGATCTCAAGAGGTCTTAAATTTGGGGACGGAAAGACCAGAATTGCGATATGGCTGAATGTGACGATTAAACTTCAAAAGGCTATGATTTCATTAAATAAACATGTGCGCTGCATGTTCAAAGTCCGGTGCTGCACTGCTTTGTGTTCTGCCGTTACCGGTAAAACAGTTATATTTCTACCAAACGCTCCACCTGCTGTCAGAATGAATGAGCATTTTCAATAAAACTGATGTTTTGTTCAGAGTTCAGACCAATGCGAAAATCGACCCATGTTTTTACCCTGCAAACACGCGGAGCTTTAAATGTGAACTGGTGGATCGATAAGAAGACAGTGCATTATAAAAATCGAAACATAGGGGTGTGCGATATGTATGGTCTGCGATAATATCGTAATTGTTGTTTTAACGATGTGCGATTTGATATTATCAAGTATATCGCGAAAAGCAAACACAAAACACACCTACAGAGTTCACGCATACATTAGGTGATGAAGTCTAGCAGGTTAGACTAGTGCGCGTGCGCATTTAGAGTGCGTTCTTTCACTGCAAGAATCAGTCTATTAAAATGCATGTACAATTATCACATAATTTAAGATATGGGGCAGAAAATGTATATATTTATATCATTTCATATAGTCAATATCACATGAAGAGTGCCGTTTTTTTCTCCAAAAGTAAACATGATTACAAATGTGATATTGATTTTATACAACAGTTCAATAAACAGGAAGTTAATATTAAGAGACTTACGTTTTAGACACCATATTTCCTGTTTTTGCTCTATTTCTCCAACAAAAATCATTTCAAACACAGCCACAGCAATTTTGCATCTCTGAGCAACAGGAAGCTGTTTCGTTCTTGAATGAATCACCCGTTTAAATGATTCGGTTCAATCGCAATGACTCACTTATTAACAGTGACTTGCTGCCACCTACTGGCGGTTTTAATTTTACATTTAGGTACCTTTTCAGTTTTTAAGTAATTTCAAACATCAGTTTTCAATGTTTTATGTTTAAAATATCAAAACATTATTTATGCATTTGTAACTGCAGGTTAAAGTATTTAATGTCCCTCAGAGCTCAAACATCAGTTTTCAATGTTTTATGTTTAAAATTAAAAAAAAAAAATGTATGCATTTGTAACTGCTGGTTAAAGTATTCCATGCCCCTCAGAGCTGCATTAAACAGTGTGTATACATCTAAATGCCACTTCTAATGCCGCTTCTGTGTTTCCTCTGCATTGCAAAGATACATTTTGTTGATACTGATTTAATTTGCTTGGTAACAACCCAAATGCAAGAATTTGACTCAAAAGATGGTGCACACTCTTAGAAAAAATGGCTTAAAGGTAAAAATGCCCATAAAACTTTTTGGAAATTATTAATTTCTATTACTGCTGTGAACTGACCATACAGAATATGAAGAATATACAAAAATTCAGGGGTCAGCTGTCCACGGTAGTCCTTAAGATATCAGCACAATAACACACTCAGCAAAATATTGTCCAATTATCGTTATCAATAAAATCCCAGAATATTATCGAGATATCACTTTTTGTCAATATCGCTCACCCCTAATTTACGTTATTTGATATAATAATTTATTGATGATAATTGTTTAAATTAATATAATAATTAATACTTTTGACTCATCCATTTTATTAACAATGGTTTAAAGGCTGAAATGTAAAGTTGATAATTTTATAACTTTGTTTTTGTGAAAACTTGTATCTGAACTGTAAATTATGCTTTTTACAGTAATTTTAGTTTAGTATGGTACTACATTGCCCTACCCCGCTCATATGGTATTAATTTTATTTGTGCAGGTCTTAAAAAGTCTTACACTTGAGCTTAAAAATTCTGCAGAAACTCTGGAAAATAAATGAAATGTCCTTCCTATCTATTTTGAAGGGCCATTATCAGCCCAGCTCGCTCGTCCTATCAGAGTTCTTCTCAGCCAGGCCCGTCAGTCTCCACATCCATGCAGCGTGGTCAGTCCAGTCCAGAGACCAGCAAATCTGGAGGTGTGCCGGGCTGGCTTCGTGTCTTGCTGTTTCTTGTCATTGCTGTGTTTCTTTATTATGTGTACACGTGCATGGAGCCTGCAGAGGAGATTCCCCTTAAAAGCATTCAGTAGAGGAACAGTGAGATGTTTTAAATGTGTTCATCAGCCCCAAACTAAACTGATTCAGTACAAGAACAACCAAAAATATAGCTTGGAATAAGAGCAAATAATATTGTTTGAGTACAGATTGTGAGGTTTAGTACCAGTTGTCGTACAACCATAAACTTGTGCATAATGCGTAAAGTTTTAACCAAATACTTGCTTTGTGCATTTTTGTAATCAAACAGATACAGATGTGGAAGACTATCCATATAAAGAAAATTCAGAATTTTTTTTTATCATTGGGGCATTCAAGTGTCTTTAAAACTTATTTTCTCATGAATTGTATGTAAAATCCTTTTGCTGTGGCCACGTATTTAGGGCTCGTGTTTGTGACATTCTGTTGCGCACTATTTGCTACACTGTTTCAATTTTCTGTTTTCAGTGTTAAACCCTTTTTTAAATAAATTCTAAGGTGCTGAATTTAAAACTGAAAAGACTTGGGCAATAAAGTACACAAGCTTGTGCTAGTTTGTGAGTAATAGTTACAGCTAAAGGCTATTGTTAGGCACAATGCAACAACCCCTTCAGCCAAGACTAGATTCACAATATAATGAGCTTTAAGTGCCTTATTACTATTATGGAAAATGATTAAGGGTATTAATTGTATAATTTTTTTATTAAACAAATTTCATTCATTACTTTCATCTCGCTACTTGTCCCTGACATGTAAACACTACCAAAATGCTGTCAAACAATTCATCACATCCAAAATAAGTTTTTGTTTACATAATATATGAGTGTGTAGTGTACTGCGTATATTTATGTATATATAATTAAATATATAAATGTATATACATAAACAATTCACATACATATAGTATGTAAACAAAAACTTATTTTGGATGCGATTAATCGTTTTGACAGCACTACTGGTAATATATTGTGAAGTCTTTATTTCTTATTTGCGGTCAATGAAGTGAATAAACAGTAACAAATTCAACTAAGGAAATTCAGAACATCAAATTACATATTTACTCAGATATGAGTGCTTTATCAAAGTGAAGGTATCCATAAAAACATCAAAAACCATACATGACTATCTATGGATCAAAATGATGGCAGAAAAAAGTTTTTGACAATTACAGTCAATGGTAGCAACTCAAGAGGTTTGGTAAAAGTCTAAATAATAAATCTTGTGTGTAAATATATGTGAGCAGTCCTTGAATATTATTCAGAGGAACTGCAATATCAGATGCTGGTTCTGAAAAAGAAGAGATGTAAAGTCAGTAAAGTAAAGTGCAGTACAGTATTAGAATTCATGTATTGTAAAGACTAAAGTATAGATGTCCATACAAAAATATTCACGATTTTAAATTCAATTTATGAATACATTACAACTTGACAAATTCCTGCAGATTCTGTAAAGTCTGGAAAATAACAATGTCATTCGCTAATAACTCTGCTCACCCTCCAGACTCGAATCCCAATGCTGTTATGATGATGTTGATAAGAACAGTAAAGAACACAAAAACTGGCCATATTATTCATCGTGTTAAGTCTCGGCTGTTTCTTAACATCATTCAGGTCATACTTCACTAAAGGGAACAGCAGAAAACACATCGTTGCATAAATGAAATTACAGCAGACAAAAAAATCCTTCCAGAAATAATAACTAACCAATGAAGATGAGCAGGAGGCCAACAATGACCTGCAGTGAGATGGACAGTGAGATCAGAGCGATGAGAGGAACGTAGGTGCTGTGCTCCTGAATGCAGCACTGTCTTCAGCTGAGAGGAGTTCGCCATCAGAAGAGCCACATCCAGCATGCTCTGTGCTGCACTCTTCTTAGTAGCGTAATGATTCATGTTGACGCGATGCTGTGCTTTCCCTGCGCCAGGAGCCTGACAGGGAGCGAGTATAATAACATTCATTGGCCTGTCCACTCAAGATCATGTAATTAGGAAATAGTTAAGTAAAAAGTAGTTAATGAGTGTAAGACAAGAGTGAACGAACACACCTCATGAAAATTCTTCAGAAAGAAAACGTAACATAAATGTTTAAATCTGTGGCACGTTTAGGCTGAAAGATGTCTGTTCCTCAAGCAAGACAAGTTCTTTCCACAGGACAGTTTCACGGACAGCTTAAGCAAATATGAAACTTCACACAGCACTGCTTGTACACACAACTGAAGGACCTTTGCAACAGAAGTATGAGCATCACTTCGGTGCTATCGAGGGGATGTTGTCTTGTGGATAGTCTGCTTGCAGTAACAAAACCAGATATTTAACAAATGAATTAATATAAAGCATATATTATTGCCTCTATAGAGTTACAAGATGTTATCTGTGCTGTAAAATGCTTTTGGAACACTGCAGCATTTTTAACAAACAAACAAGAAAAAAGATTAGAACGCAGACATGTATCACTCACCTCTCCACGTTGATTATGGGCTTGATTCTCCATTTTCTTCGGGTTTTGTTTAGCAACAGAAATGTTTACAGGAAGCTCGCAAACAACAGCGCAGCCTGAGAAGTGTTTTACACTAAAACTCCTGGCTCTCTCCAAAAGATGTGCTTTTGAACATTGAGACACAGACCCTCCCATTAGTGTCACCAATGAGACACTACCCGACCAGTAACGCTTGTCTGTCTGCAGCTGTTGCACTGTTTGTGTGAGAGACGACGAGGTTTCAGACAGACAATAACTTTAGTTAACACAAATGTAAATTATCTATAAACTAAAAACACCTTGTGTTTCTAGAAGGTGAGTCTTTATTAAAAAAAAACAGGTCATGACACAGTGATTGCAAATCAAACACTGGCATATACTAATCACAGGCTTTTGTAAAGAAAGAGGATTATAGTTTATAGCTGTTTAGGAGTATTCTATTAGAAGGCAATTTTATAAGTAGAATGCTTATTGATCAGTGTCTTGGAGTTCAAAAAACAACAGTTTGTTATTTATTCCTAGTATAAATCTGCCATAGTGGTGTTATAAATCACAGTGCTTTGGGAACAGTCCTGAACATGTAAATAAGTGGTCTGATTGGTTATGTTTGACACCTCATGTCTTTCACTAATTAAATCCAAGCTGTAGGTTGTAGATTTCTGCTTAGTCCTTGAGGTTATGATTGGTGAAGGGAGAGAAAAGCCACATATCTGTTCTTTAGCTACTCCAGCCGTTCGGCTAAAAAAAAAAAAGCAAGCGTGTTATTTAGAAGTTTGTGTACAAAATTCCGCTCAAATCCAAGATATCACTCACGCAGCGTGTGCTTCTCCCCTTTAGACCAGTACCGCTTGTCTGTCTGCAGCTGTTGCACTGTTTGTGTGAGAGACGACGAGGTTTCAGACAGCTGCTTAAGAGCCTCGAGCTCCTGAAACGTAAATGAAGAATATGCAAAACATTTGTATTTGAATATGCAAAATATATACAAGGGCTGTCCAGAGAGTATCCAGCCATGTAATTCAAAACTCTCTTCATGCTTTTGCAAAAGTATTGCGTTTCCCCAAGAATCCTTTGGGTTCACTTGCAAAAGGTTAGCATTCTTTCGCAAAACTATTGCATTCCGCGAAGAAACTTTGCATTTGCTCCTATAAAAACATGCAAACTTGAAATGGATTACAAGTATTAATGTTCAGTTTCTTGCACAGACCAATGATTTTGCTTCATAAGACCTCAATATATTGTCAGGAGCCATATGTATTAAATTTTGTGTCCCCTGATTTTATTTTTTTTAACTCTCAACGTGACTGTAGCCATTGACTTGTATTTCATGCATTACAAATGGTTTCAGCTACAAAAAAAAATCTTTACTGTTCTACTAAATAAAAAAAGTCAATTAACAGCAAATTTTCATTTTTGGGTGAACAATCTCTTTAAGTTACTGCAGATAAATGATGTAGGATGCTTTACCGTATTACAGGTGTGCAGGAGCTGATGTACAGACTGAAACACAATAGCGCCAGAACTGAGGGCCGGAGGGGCTCTTTGGCAGTACGCCTTAAAGTCTGCGTTGTAGATGTGTCCGAAAGCAGTCATGAGCTGAGACATGTCTGAGATGGCCACTTTCAGCGCACAGGGGGACAGAACAGCTGCCGAACCTGACGAATGTGAGTGAAGGAACTCACACTGAGGAACAGAGAGGATCATGCTATTATTATGGAAACCAAACACATCATATCAGATGTGAAAAATGCACATGATGGTCCCACCTCTTTGTGGAGCTCGACTAATGTGCTCTGTGTAGACTGCAGCAGATCCATGGCCTCTGTCAGGCTTTCTTCTCCATGACTTCCTAGTCGGGAATGTTGATCACTCCTTCAATGGCAGTACATAAAAACCGTGTTAAAGAAAACAGTTGAAAATGTACATGGGTGCATAAAAATCATACAGACCTGTTTATGAAATCACTGGGTTTACTGTGTTGTTTTCCGTTCATTTTGTTGTGAGTTGACTGTGTGCGTATTAGATGTTCACGGATATGTGCAGGCCACGGGTTGCAGACCGGATTCATATCCGGTCTGATAAGTGATCCTGAAACATTAGTTCCCCAAGAAGATCATCGTTCCTCACACTGTCATCACCAGAGGATGAGTTCTGCCTACATCCATCAAAATAAACAACATAGAAACAAGACCACATTCAGGACTAAAGGTTGATGTTAAATCAATGTTACAAAAAGCTGCAGAAGTCAGATACCTAGAGTTTAGGGGTGTGCGATATATATCGTAATTGTTTTAAACGATTCGGTTCAATCGCAATGACTCACTTATTAACAGTGTTTGCTGCCACCTGCTGGCGGTTTTAATCTCGGCTTTTTCTTTCTTTTCTTTTTTTTTTTTTTTTTTTCATGTTTTAAATCATTTCAAATATCAGTATTCAACGTTTTACGTTTAATATATCAAAACATTATTTATGCTTTTGTAACTGCAGGTTAAATGCATCCATGTCTTGCATTAAACAAAATACGTGTGTAAATGCATCTAAATTCCACTTCAGATGCAGCTTCTGTGTTGATTTCATTTGCTTGGTAACAGCCCAAATGTCTTATTATGCTAATTCCCTGATTAAATGTAAGAATTTGACTCAAAAGATAATGGACACTTTTAGAAAAAATGGCTTTATAAAGGTAAAAATGCCCATAAAATGCAAAAATCAGTTTAAACTTATTGGAAAAGATTAATTTCTATCAGTATGAACTGACCACCACACAGAATATGAAGAATATTAAAAACATTAGGAGTCAGCTGTCTTCGGCAGTCCTTAAGGTACCAGCACAATAACACACTCAGCAAAATATCGTCTAATTATCGTTATCGATAAAATCCCAGAAAATATCGAGATATAATTTTTTGTCAATATCGCACACTCCTACTAGAGTTTATGGAGGAGTCTGCTTGAATGACCATCAGAAGCTGCTCCAGAAACCTCAGCTGCTGTAATGGTGGTGCAAGACCCTGAAAATATAACAGACACAACAGGACACATTAGTTCATTCTGTTTTAGAAAATACATTTTAAATGATTAGATAAGAATAGTTGTTCTTAACCCAGTATCAATCTGTCCCAAACATTTTTGCTTGTTCAATCATGTTAATGAAGTATTCAACAGTGTTGCTAAAGGTGCATGTGAAACTGAAAAGATCAAATTTTAAAAAACATTTCAGAGTAATCTCTATTCTGCTCTATACATAAATTGCACTAGACAGTATAAAGATCAGCATTGTATAACTTCATACCTTGATTAAATCCTGGTCGTTAGCTTTACATAACATCATTTCATAACCAAACCGTGCGAGTTCTGTGTGTGAGAGAGAAAGCACAACAAAACAATAAGCATAAGAAAATAACAAAACAATTTGAAACAGAGCAGACCGAGATTTTGTTGGATCTTCTCTTTGTAAATAAATAAATAGAGTAACAGATATACTTATGCAAAACTGAAACAACTTGCGTATTCAAACCTGTGCTTATTAAAATATATAAAAGAAAAAGTGATCATAATTTTATTTTAAATAAATTACAATTAGCGATCCTTATATAGAGTCCTTTAATGTCATCTAATGATTCTTGTTCTAAATATACCGGACAAGTTTTTAAACTATTATTACACTGAATGGCATGGTGGGTGTCATGGTAAAAATGTACGTAGTCATTATTTTATGCTCAGAAAAAGACTTTAACAAGACATTCTAATGTAGGGGGGAACTACAGCAAATTTAAAGCTTAAAATTTAAATTTAAAACGTATTGTTTTTATGCCTGAAAACCTCTTTTCGTCTTTGACCCATACAAAGGATTACCTTGAACTAAATCCTCATTCTGAGTTGCTTTAAGTGTGGAAAACTTCTCCTTTAGGGATGGACAAATGCTTTGTAAAAACACACACACAAACCAAGCAAGGCATTTTAGTACACAGATTTGCAAACTACATATTTGACATCATTCTAATCATGTTTGATGATCAATCAGGCATCAGACCTATGGAATTACATTTCTGCCGAAATTCTGCGCGCGAAAGATAATATTTTGAGCGCGCAAAAGTGCGTTTTGCACGCGCGCGAACTTAGTTTTGTGGAGAAAATGTTTGTCATTACTCCGGGATATTGGTTTATTTCGAATCAGAGGGAGTGTCAGCCACGTTTAAAAAGTGAATAAGTTAAGTAATTTGTGGATTAATGCTTACACTTTTCAACGATTCAGTCCGACTTGGTGAACTGGTTCAACCGGTTCACTAAGAAGAACCGGTTAAATCGAACGATTCGTTCGCGAACCGGACATCACTAATTTAGAGAGCACTGAGGGCGGGCATCAAGGGAGCAAGCTAGTGAAACGTTGCACGCGCAAAAGAGAAGGTCTGCACACATCCAAAAACTTATTTTAAATGCAAAATTGATTTTCGTGCGCTCGAAATACTTTCTTCTTTGCGAGACAAACATTTTCTCCACAAAACTCAGTTCGCGCGCGTGCAAAACGCACTTTTGCGCGCTCAAAATATGATCTTTCGCGCGCAGAATTTCGGCAGAAATGTAATTCCATACAGACCTGGCGCAAATCCACTCGAGTGTATCAGTCCTGTGTAATGAAGGAGAGCAGAGGAGCTCCTGCACACTGTCCGGCTCCCGCAGGTACAACCCATCCACCAGAGGACAGCCCAGACTCTGAGCAGTCAACACAACAGTTCAAACAGCCCATCTAGTTATTGTGTTACTGACACTTTGCTCTGGTTTCTTGTATTTGTCAGCTCGCTAAACAGATACATATGCAGCATACATTGAGCCTGACGGAAGAAACGATAACGTTAACTAAACCAGCAATTATATCAAGTACTGTATTTTTTCTATTACACAAATGGTGTCCTGAATTGTGGACAAAAGATAATATCTTAAAACTATGTTATTTTAATGAACAGTTACACACACAACTGTTGTTAGCTCCACAACTAGCAGCTAGCTAGCAGCTCACAGACCCAAAACACTAACGTTACTACAGACCCAACACAGCCGGTTTTGAATTCGCGAAACATCAGAAAATTATTGAGTGTGTCATTGTCTGACAGCAGCTGCTCTTTTGAATTGCCCGCCATGTTGTTATTCCTTCCTGCAGCTGAGCGAGTCCGAGGCTGTGCGTCAGCGTCATTCCGCGCATGCGGCTACAGCGACCCCCGGCGGCCACAAGCATATTACAACGAAACACAATCCACAATAGACTATCACAGGGCTGTCCAAACTCGGTCCAGGAGGGCCAGTGTCCTGCAGAGTTTAGCTCCAACTTGCCTCAACACACCTGACTGGAAGTTTCTATGCCTAGTAAGAGCTTGATTAGCTGGTTCAGGTGTGTTTAATTGGGGTTGGAGCTAAACTCTGCAGGACACCAGCCCTCCAGGACCGAGTTTGGACAGCCCTGGGCTATACTGTAATTATACAGGCCTAAGTATGGTTATAATATTTACCTTGAGCATTATAATAATTGAGGATTTGAGCATTTTTGTTTGATGACTCAGTAAAACAAATAGTGTGGGTTGTTCATTTCAGGTATGGATGTATGTATGTGTGTGTTCATATTTCTAAACATCCCCAAACTGTTTTTAATTCTTCCTTTTAGATCACATGCAAAGTGATTTATCATTACATCCCAAACATTTTTGCTGGTACAAATCAAATCTCTAATGTACGTATGAAATTTTCAGCAGTGTTGCTATAAAGATGCAATAACCAAGACGGGAAAAAAAAAAATCACAAACATTTTACTATATTCTCTATTGTGTCCCTTATGTAAAAAGGTGTCTTTCACATAAACTGAGAAAAAGACAAATTCATAGTTTGTTAAAATGTGCTGCCTAAACTACACAAAATATCACGAGATCTTTTGCTGAGATATGATATGGAGTACAATGTCCAGTAAGTTGTTTGGTAAATACATGTCGATGACATGAAAGGCAGGTTGAGTGGCAATACAATCATGTGAGCAGTCCTTGTGTGCTTATACATCATCAGTGAAGTTTAAAGATCTGGTCTGAGCGAGTGCAGTTTCAAATATTACACTGCCCCTGAAACAAGGGGATGAGATGTAAAGTTAGTACAGTCTGAGAACTATCCCGACGTGGGAATAAAGAAGGGATAGATGTTCATAGACGTGCAGATTTCTTATTGGGACATTACCTCAATTAACTTAACTATAAAAATGATGGAAAGAATGAGTATAAATCTATTTTCTAATGATACTTTGCTGTTACTCTGCTCACCCTCCAGACTCAAATCCCAAAGCTGTGATGAAGATGTTGATAAGAACAGTAAAGAACACAAACACAGTTGCTGCGTCATTCATTGTGTTAAGTCTCGGCTGTTTCTTAACATCATTCAGGTCATACTTCACTGAAGGGAGCAAGAGAAAACACATCACTGTTACATCAATGAAATTACAGCAGAATACTTTCAAAGAGATAACTAACCAATGAAGATGAGCAGGAGGCCAACAATGACCTGCAGTGAGATGGACAGTGAGATCAGAGCGATGAGAGGAACGTAGAAGCGGTGCTGTGCTCCTGAATGCAGCACTGTCTTCAGCTGAGAGGAGTTCGCCATCAGAAGAGCCACATCCAGCATGCTCTGTGCTGCACTCTTCTTAGTAGCGTAATGATTCATGTTGAAGCGATGCTGTGCTTTCCCTGCGCCAGGAGCCTGACAGGGAGTGAACATTACATAAAAAAATCAATTGGTGAACACTGTAAACATTCAACATAATTTATATTATATATAAAATACGAATATATATATATCACCAGCCAAAAATAACATTCTGAGTTTTTAAATGTCATTACATGATTATACTGTAGAAATACTTAACATGTAATGCATTTAATATTAAGTAATTATCCTACTTGTTAAAATTCACATGCTTAAATACGTATAAGGTACATGTAGTATCAAATAATATCACATTTGAGTAATATTCCTACTGTCTCAGGGGGGAAAAATGGTAAAAAAGCTATCACTAGGGCAGTACCTTTTCAAAAGGTACACCTTTGCACCTGAAGGCTCCATTCTTGTACCTTAAAGGTATATATTAGTACCTATAATGTACACGTACCATCCCTGTAATAGCTTTTCTACCTTTTTCTGAGAGCGTACATATGATTTTATTGCTAAGATGATGAAGAAATCTGCCGACAAATGCAATACAATATAGGTTTTTGAGTTATTGAGTAATTGAGACCCCAGACCGGAGGGTTAATAGCCTATATGTGCATCATATGATAGTGCTCAAACATTTGTATCCAGAATATTGAGCTGAACATCAAAATAAGTCTTGAGGGTTAGTGCTATATACTGAAACATATACATTCAAGTTCATACAAGATATGTGTTGTATCATATGTGTAATCATCATTTTTTATTTCCCAAGAACATAATTCACAAAGATCCTCAATTTGTTCATATATCGTTTTTCTTATCTTACATTTCTTTTGAAGTGTTCGTTTAGCTTGTTCCTGTATAGTCAAGAGATGGATATATTTTAAACAGGGATTAAGGATAACAACTCTGTTTTGGTTATATACAAAAGGGTGAGTGTGATTTCACCAAGTACAACATGTTCCTGGATCAACATCCTTGTTGATCCTGGAACAACATTCCAATTAACCAATCAGAATTGAGGGATAACTTTTCAGGAAATATCTGTTTTAGGCTTACAATCAGGGTTAGGTGCTTCTACACCCTTGTTAATCAGCTATCATTTCACACTGATTTTAGAAATATAAATTATGGGTAGGGTTAGGTTTAGGGGTAGGGATTGGGTTTAGTCTATATTTTCGACCGTAATGTTGATCCAGGATCAACAAAAGATGTTGATCCAGGAACATGTCTTACTTGGCAAAATCACGACGACCATACAAAAGATGGGAATGATAACATCCCCAAGGTATGACTGCAGTTGTGTGTCTGTCAGTCAGCATAGCAGTTTTGGGTGGTGATGAAGGGTGTTCTCCAGTTCTTTCAAACCTAACGTTACATTATGTAAGAGAAGCCAATATGTACACTCCCTAATATGCTATTTATACATGCTAAATGCACTCTAATAGATGTTTATTACAATATTTTGTAAAACTGAATATAGGTTGGCTAATCGATAAACCTGTAAATAAAGTGATAAGAACGAATAATACAGAATATAAACCATTTTATGATCACCTATAGTTATCCCTTTAAGATAAATAACACAGCACGTCTCCATTTTATCCTTTTAGCGTTAAAACCGTTGTGTTTTGAAATTGAACTTTTTCCGTTTGTTTAATAAAAAGCATCAAACATCAAGAAAAACGTTACCTCTACCGTTCCTGATTCATTGAGAGGTTGTTTCTCCTCCATAGAGACGGATGCTTATCTTTAAAGATTTTGCTTAGTTGGACTAGGTATTTAAAAGAAGCATTCGAGAAGTTCACGAATACAAAAACTGCGTGAGGAATGAATGATTTCTACACTGAAACATAAACAACAGATTGCACCTTCAGCTCTGCCTAATGTTTTCTGATTGTAAGCGTATTAGTAGTGGTGAGGACTGATTCATTCCAGTGACTCGAATCTTTTGTTTACTTTCACTAAAAAGAGTCGCTATGATTCGTTCAGGGACTCTTTCAGTAGTTCACATAGTTACGTCAGAAGGTGTGGTAATTACATCAGCATTCCTTTAATTACAGGTTTTTAAGTCAACGCATGTTGTTAAAACCTAAGTCTTGTTTACACAGTGATTACTCACCTCTTGTATTCTACTGACACAACAAAACATCTAGATATTTTTAAAACTCATCTACCAAGCCATTACCAAGTAACAAAAACCAAGTATAATAACATAAAACAATTTGATCTTTTGTAATGATCTTTTTATGTATTTATCAGCAATTTGACTTGAAACAAACTATGAATGTAAATTGTGTACTCCCAGGATGTTTTGCTCCAGCCAAGCCAGGGAATGCTCACTAATGCTCACTTACCTCATTCCATGACAATTCATCCAGCATCCCTGCACCATCCCAGCTCCAAACAGTAAATATTATATATTCTTATTAAGCAGAGCTCCATCATGGGAAGCAAGACAGTTACATTAACCTTGTCTCCCATTGGTATCATTTAATTCAGATAAATGGCATGTAAAAATGATAGTTAACCACTTCACATGTAAGTCACATGTTCTCTTCCAGTCTAAGTGGGCAGTTCCTGGCCAGAGTAACCTGCAATGAGAACCAGAACAAACTATGTACAGAATATGAAGTTTGACAATATGTGATGCAAAAGTGTTGGACACCTTGTTTAACCAGAATTACTTCATCTTTCCAAAAAAGATTTCCTTTAAGGGAAGAGCTGTTCTGGCAGTTTGTGAAGCAATGTCATCAGGCAGAAGAAATAATCACAGGCACACAATAAAACACAACCACTGACACTGGTCAAAGTTATTATTGTAGAATACTTTGATTTGATTTTTTATACAGACAAAAAGTGTTGACTTATTTTCCCATTAAATTCTTAGATTTCCATACAGTTTTGTCTACAGTATACAGCTGTGTTCTTTCATCATAGATAGATACTTTTTTCTCTTAAGTAACAGGCAGGTAATTATTAATATATTTAATAGTTTAATTTTTGTTCTTTTTTTTCTATTGTAGAGCAGTAAGTGTATGTTCAGGAGAATGTGCAACTGTTTTTTTTCCATCAACTAAAAGAGCACAGATGGAAAAAGACAATAATAATAATAATAATTATAGTAATCATAATAATGTACAAGCTGTTCAATTTGAATTCTTTACAAAAAAGCAAAAGGAGAAAGAAAGAAGAAGAGACAATAGAGTAAAACAAAAAAAAAGGTGCTTAAATCGTAAACAAAAGATGCACATGTGCACATTTTGGCAAAATGTACAGTGATGGTGCAGTTGTACAATAATTGATAACTTTTATATTAAATATAGAATATTATTTACTCTTTTTCACATTACATTTTTTCACCTTACCTTGCGTGATTTTTCTACAACAGAATGAAACAAAATGTAGGCAGACGATGGAGTTTTGGATGATCTGTTTTCTTTTTTTTTAAATATATATATGCGTATATATATTTGTCACTCTATCAGGAGTCTTGATAAAGTGGCTGTCTGTTGTGGTGGAGAGGAGGGATACCATACATATGCCACTGTAATAAATATCATCACTGTCTGGAGAGTTCAATGATCGGGGTATACGTCGTAGATATAGTTGTTAGATTGAAAAATTATTAAGAGACGAGCATAGCTTGAGGCCTATTTTGGTAGTTAAGCTTAGCTGAGGATAAGATAAGGTTAGGAAATGTTTCTTTATTATGGTATAGCAGGTTCACTGACCTATCCTCCCTGACCACCACTTTGGCCTGCTGACTGTGCCTGGGCCTTTAAATGGGTTCAGTCTGTGAGACCTGCCAGCGCTCTCGACACTAGAGACTCCACTGGAACTGTCTGAGCCCGATCGAACCCAGCGAAAGGTCGGACACACTCGTGCAGATATAACACAGTTTTGCTTGAAGGAATATTCCGGGTTCAATGAATGTGAAGCATTTGTGACATAATGTTGATTACCACAAGAAATACTTTTAAATTAAAACTTTTAAAAGAAAATGAGAGACAATTATTGATAATATTATTGATAATAAATTAAGTAGCAAAAATCAAGGTTGCGATGAGGCACCTACAATGAAATTGAATGGTTTTTGAAGGATTTAAAAGCAAAAATGTGACAATTATAATCATAAACATTGCACTTGCATTAATTATATTGTTAAAATGTGTATTATTTGACCTGTAAAACTATTTAAACAATCATTTTTACAATCATTTTAGGGTTTTATGGTCTATGCTGTTGCATCATCATGGCAAAAGTTGTTCATTTGGATTTGATTTTACACAGAAAAGGTTAGTAAGCCATTTTTCACATGTTGACATTCATACTCTTTGCATCTTCTGGCTATACTATTGAAACAATGAGTGAAATATTCTGAACCCAGAATATTCCTTTAAAAATGGGTTTCCATTTAAAGATCCAACGACAAAACATTCTGCTAGTCGTAGAACAAGTCAACCCATTTTAGGCAATGTGTTTGTTGGCATATAACAAGTAGTCAGATTGGCAGTGCAACACTGCTCCACCTCCAGGCTCCACGCCACAGACAGGGCAGAGTATCAGGAGGAGAACATCAGCATGGACTATAGCACATTAATGACAGCACAGATGCGCTGGGAGGAGAAACGTGTGTCCACCAACCGCTTAAGAGCCACAGTGAAGCATCAACAGACAAACGTGAAGTCAAACAATGACAGTGTAAAGCAAGCAATATGATATCAACATGCTACACAAAGACAAAACCGACCAATGCAATGACATGATCTAGTGGCGCTCATGCTTGCATTGTCTGCTTTCAATATTCGCCAGTTTCTTTGAACTGGACAATCTAGAAAAGTATTCTATACAGATAAAGTTTTTTTTTCTCGAGATCCATATGTACATGTCGTGAAGCGTATTTCACAGAGCTGTGAGCAGGGCAGTCTGTTGCATAAGTGCCGGTCTCATTCCCCAAAATGATTGTAATAAGTTGCAATGCATCGACTGAAGTGGTAAGATAGTAACGGTACCATTCCAGATGATTATGGGGTGTAAAAGGAGGTAACCCCGGATGATACAACTGATCAGTGGAACGTCAATGGAATGTAACTGAATCAAACACACTATCATCTGACATGGAGAATCATGCATGTCTTTACATATATAATAGGGATTACTGTTCTGTTGTTCTGAATTGCTAAAATATAGACCAATAGCCAGACAGTGTGTCTATCAAAGTCCACAGTGAACCTCGATAATGTGCAAAAGTAATGATACCCTCATGGATTGTCCATCTTTTAGTATCTTTGATATTTTTTTAACTATGGTGTGGCAGTATAAGATGGATTCCCTACCTGGGGACCACAGTCTGCAGATATTCACAATCTGATCAATATTTCACACACACGAGGAAAGCAAGTATGTATTTAAAGGGCCAGCAGATATGCATGTACTGAGTAAATAGAATTATTTGAACATGTTTAAAGGGTTGATGCATTTGTTGGTGTCATCTGCACAACATGAATTTTAATGGCTTTTATGTGAAAGAAATATAAGACACCATTAAATGTGGAGTCTGGGCAAACCCACTGAAATCCTTAAATCCAATTTCAGCTACTTTGAACAAGGTATAACATATTAACAAGGCTATTTTGTCGTAAGGCTGATTTCCATCGCTGAGATGGAAAACCACCGACATCCCACCCACAATCATTGAATTGCTGTGATGGGATTGCCCAAATCCTCTACCCTGTAGTATATTTTAAACATGAACATGTTGCGTAAATGTTTAAAATATCATGAGCATGATTTCTGTGTTTAAAAATGCTTACTCTCACTTAGAGTGAAGCTACAAATTTCTCTAAAATAATATTATTTTTTTGCTGTAAACAATAATCGTTAAAATGGTGCGGCGACGTTTTTGTCTTCTTTTTGTTATCAGCAGACGCATTATAATTGAATTAGTCTAAGCTTCAAATTAATATTATCTTTGCTTTGTTAGTACTTCTTTTTTCTAGCTTTTTTATGCTTTTAGGACAGACACAACACACACACAGAGAGAGAGAGAGAGAGAGACAAAGTGAAAATGAAAAAAAATCTGGGTGATCACAATAAATAAATGAATAAATAATAAATAAATAAATAAAATGTTTTAAAGCTAATCCATAAAGCATTACTCAGAGTAATAAATGTCGTTTTCTGTGATATCGCAATGATAATCCCAGCACTCAGGATGACGGTGGCGATAGTAAGAAGTCAAACATGATAATAATAATATTGAGTTTAGTAACATCGATAAAAAGTAAAGTGAATGGACTCCTACTCCACCCGTAGGGAACATATTCCTTTGCATTCTGAGAAGTCAATAGTCACCAGCACTAAAGAGCCGCTAAAATCCATCGGGTCTGGATTCCTCACCTTCTCAGGTCCGTCCAAAGGAACCACAGACATGCAGCAGACTGGCCTCCTCTCCACACGGTGAGAGGAGAGGTGTCTGTGGGGCTGTTGTTGAGACATGAGGAGTTATAGTGCTTTCGGTGGATGGTGGTAGTGGGCAAATGATTGGGATGACCCTGTCTTAGTATTGGGGGTCAACCACCTACAACGTGTCCGTAGGAGCCTCCCCCACCAGCATGACCCACACAGGTCCGCATCCTCAGAGTTCTTAGGGTCTTATCCTCTGGAGCGCGGCCAGTCATAGAGAGGTCTCCAGGGCGAAGAGGGGGTACAGCTGTCGAGAGGGGGTTGTCCAGTGCCCGTCTGGGCCTGTGGGGAGGTTCAGGTGGTAGACGCTGCTCTCGATGGCGTTGTTGTTGCGGTTAGGCGTGGTGGGGAGGCTGTACTGGCGGTAGGGATGGGGCGGTGGGCGGGAACGCTGCGGAT